ACCACCATGCCAAGCTTTTTTTTTTTTTTTTGTAGACATAGCGTCCTGCCATGTTGCCCAGGCTGGTCTCAAACTCCTGGGCTCAAATGATTCTCTCACCTCTGCTTCTTAGTGTTGGGATTACAGACATGAGCCACTGTGCCCAGCCTAGTCTGGATTACAGATGCAAGCCACCATGCCTGGTGTGTAATATTTGGTATGAATGATAGGGTTTGTTCAAATTGTTTTTTTGAATGTAGAAATCCAATTTAATATTGGTAATCTGATTTCATAACTTTAGAATATCAGTGGCCATCAGGGGCCGAGTTTGGTTCTGAATTCAAGAGGAGTATACATTTAGACCACAGTCTATTGCCTTGTTATTGAAGAGGCAGGACAGCCTAAGTGTTGCCAGTGTATTTTTCTTTTTCTTGTCTTTTTTTCTGAGACAGAGTCTTGGTCTGTCACCCAAGCTGGGGTGCAGTGGCACAGTCATGGCTCACTGTAGACTTCCCAAGCTCAACCAATCCTCCCACACCAGCCTCCTGAGTAGCTGGGACTGCATGTGTGAGCCATCACAGCCAACTAATTAACAACAAATTTTTTTTTGTAGAGACTAGGTCTCTCTCTGTTGCCCAGGCTGGTCTCAAACTCCTGGGCTAGAGTGATTCTTCCACCTTGGCCTCCCAGAGTGTTGAGACTGTTGGGATTACAAGCATGAGCCACCACCCCGGCCTGTATTTGTTCATATATATATATATATATATATTTTTTTTTTTTTTTTGACAGAGTCTTGCTCTGTTACCAGTCTGGAGTTCAGCAGCACAATCTCGTCTCACTGCAACCTCTGCCTCTGGGTTCAACGGATTCTCCTGCCTCAGTCTCCTGAGTAGCTGGGACTACTGGCTCATACCACCACACCCAGCTAATTTTTGTATTTTTGGTAGACAGGGTTTCATTATGTTGGCCAGGATGGTCTCGATCTCTTGACTTCGTGATCTGTCCACCTCAGCCTCCCAAAGTGCTGGGATTACAGGTGTGAGCCACTACATCCGGCCAAGGGCCTGTATTTTTCTGAGTTTCATCAAGTTTGTGATTGGTTAAAGGCATGTTCAGGTGTGGATTCATTGCTACTTCTAAATTTAAATTTTTTCTTCAATTACTTGAACATGAAATCACTTTTTGTGAGCTAAACAACTATAATTTTAATAACTTTTCTTATTAATAACTTTGCTTTTTTTTCCCCTAAATCCCCCTAAGATGGCCTCTGAATTAATCAGTTATGGGCCTTATTTATGTAAAGGATCCAAAATTATTGAAAAGTAATTTGCTAGCTAGGTGCAGTAGCTTATGCTTGTAGTCCTAGCATTTTGGGAGGCCAAGGCAGCTTGCTTGCTTCTTTGAGTTTGAAACCACTGGATTCCAGCCTCGGCAACAGAGTGAAATCCTGTCTCAAACCCATGGATTGCTTGAGCCTTTGGGTTTGAGACCATTGCATTCCAGCCTGGGCAACAGAGTGAAAACTTGTCTCAAAGAGAAAAAAGAAAAGAAAAGTAATTGCTTGATTGCATTTATCATAGCATCTATTTAGAGGAGAGGAGAGACAGATGCCAAATGTATGTTAATTTTTGTTCATTTAAGTTTCTTGGTGTGTCACTGGTGGCTTACTGTGTGTCCTTTTTATGAGTGGGTTCATGGTGTGTTTCGTAAAATGCAATATAACAAATACTCTGGAGTGCATACTGGGTTAGATTAGTATTTTGATTTACTCTGCTGCTATTTAATGAATACATATCGAGAAAGATAAAGAAAGAAGCTGTAGCAGTGAGGAGTATTCAGAAATTGGAGGTGTTAGAAAGGAGAACTTTGACATTTAATATTGAGTGCTGATCTCATTTAGAACTACCCACCTTACTGACACTTTGCTTCAAATATTGGTTTTGGGAAAATTTGGTGGGAAAATCTGATTATGATGAAAGTGTGTTTATACTTATTTTGCTGATTATTTTGATTTAAATGGGATTGTATCCACTTGAAATATTTGAAAAAAAAATTGGCTAGCTCTTTGAACTTTGGAGAACAGCAGCCAGTATAATTCAAGGAGGAGCTTGAAGAGACTTTAATATCCCCAACCTACTAACTTCATCAGCTTCCCCTAAGTCACCCTAAGTAAACATGCAGTTTGGGTGGGAACTGGGAGCTTGATATCCAAATGTTCTCTCTCCTTCCAGTTAAATTGCTATCCTTAAAAGTCCTTCATTTTCTTTTGAGACAGGGTCTTGCTCTGTCACCCAGGCTAGAATGCAATGGCATGATCTTGGCTCACTGCAACCTCCACCTCCTGGGTTCAAGCAATTCTCCCACATCAGCCCCCTGAATAGCTGGGACCACAGGTGTGCACCACCATGCCCGGCTCATTTTTGTATTCTTTGGTAGAGAAAGGGTTTCACCATGTTGGCCAGGCTGGTCTTGAACTCCTGACCTCACTTGATCCACCTGCCCT